AATATACACAGTTTGTTGCCACAAAGTTCACGCGTGTATAGCAACATTCTTCGGCAACAGCCATTGTTCATCCATTCTGCAAGCAAATCCATTTAGCTTCAAGAGTATAAATAGACACTCTACTGTTGCTAAGAGAGTGAACAGTTAAGGGATGGTAATTTTGGTAAAAACACAACTGTGTTTAGTTTAGAACGCGACAAGGATTCGAATGGTAGGTATTTTTTCTAAGACGTGATCCAAGTTTTGAAAAACTGACGCGAAAGAGTGACGTACTAGTTTATTTTCTGGATCGATGGATATGCAATATACTGTCGAACATTATCATGGGACAGCATTACGCCTTATCGATTGAATAATGCAGCCTGCTCGATGCATAATTTAAATTTCATGACAATGTGTCTACAGTTACGGTTTCACTCTACCTCGGGGAAACGTAATGAACAACACTTGAATCCCGTTTCAGTATAAATTATTCAATATTCTATTTTTCATTCCTCTTATTAGTGTTCCACTAATTCCATTAGTGTTCCATTCCATTAGTGTTCCATTATTATTGTGGAAATTCTCTTATACATCAACATGATTAGCATTTCGCAATTTTAACCACTCGTAATCTCTAGAAACAACCTCGGAAAATTGCCTCGTAGCTGCTAATCGTTCTCTTTGAAAAACGCTCCAAACGCAAAGGAATAAGACCGCGAGATTCGTCTGCTTTATTATATCCGCAAGCTCTGCCACCGACCGAATAATTACCAGCCACTTTATTCTCATTGGTCGACTGCGTTTGCTTCGTAGGAATGTAGGAAAGGCCGAAAGGAGATCCAGGCCAGTAACGAGCTGCGCCCCAGGCAACGAGTTACAGTTAAGGATGAGCTCCCAGCAAGGAAGTAGCGTTTTATTATTGCGAAAAGTTATTTCAAGGTTTGCCATACTTTCTCCGTTGGGCGAGATAAAACGATTCCCGTGAAACGAACTTTCTGCTCGCTTCTGTCTGAACTTTCCAAATCGACGGAGCATTTGACAGCTGGCCACATAAGTTTATTTTGAAACAGCACAGTGGTCCGTACGACAATTCCAATGGAAATCTGAGCAGCGAGCACGAAATTAGCGTCGATTACGAAAAGAGTAGCCATAAAACATTGCAAAGTTATTTAGGTCGTTTCGTTACATTAACCGCAGATACGCAGGATACTACTTTTTTGTTTTACCAGTTATCGAAACTAGTTATCGATCTCAAAGAATTATTTTTTGAATCGTGAAAACTGAAATGCCAGCAAATCGAGAACGTTATACAAGTATTTCAAATAAAACGCTTGAGACAACTATGAAACGCACAAGTGCAATCAATCCTTTTCGGGATGCATGATTGAGATTCCAAGCGGCCTATAAAAAAAATTTGAAAATATCGATTTTCCAGTTCTGTCAGAGTGGAACATCCTATTCAAAGCGGACACTGTTTTTCGCAGCTTTGACTTTGTCGTCCAATCGTTGCTGTATCGAAGATGAAACGCCGTTGGCATACGGAAGGCACGAAAAGCCGGGTAATACATATAATTCAGAGGGATTCGGCGGGAACGGGTCGCGTCGTTTTTGTCCATCGGGTCTGGAAAGTGAAACGAAATCCTCGCAGTTTCCATTTCGCTAATCCTCGTAATGACCTTTTTTCCACTCGACTCCGCGCCGAGGCGAACGAATGAAAATCGTTCTTCACCGTAGATTTACCTCTTCCGTGGACAATGCACCGAGTGCGCTCAGCAAAACCAAACCATCGCTATTTTGAAACCACATCTTGCCAAGTTACAATTCGCGTCACACAACCAGCATCGTATAACCACGTTTGGACTCGCGATTATTCCATCTAGACAAGTATGTCGCACGAAAATTATAGCATTTCAAAATAGCATCACTCTTGTTCGCGTTTCGAGTCAAATTTATATCGGAATAAGTAACTAGATATTTTTCGCGTACATCCAACAAAAGTGATATTTCTCTGGGTTTTAATTTATAGTAATCCATTTTGATGCGGTGAAAATGTCGCGATCGTTTCCCTCGACCCGGAGTCGACGTACACGGAGGTTAGCGCAATTTATCATCCAGATAAAGGAATCGCAATGGTTCCGTCCGGTCGACCGAGTTCGATAGCGTGCATCGAAATCTGCGAAACTCGCCGACGATGGAGCTAGGCAATAAGATAAGATTTTGAAAAGTTCTGCGTTTCCCTGGAACGTCCGCGATGGAATGAGACTGCAACTGAAGAAATCGCTACGGAGGCGCCGAGGGCAAACAATGGCGATGGCACTTCTTCAGCTTCTCATTCGGGGCACTATGATGAGTGTTGTGTAAATTTAAATATGTTCTACGTATTTAACCCAAACTAGGCACCTGTGCAATTTCGTTCTGCACGTTTCAAATTTGTTTCGGTTACCTAAAACTAATACCTCGACGAACATAGTATTGAAAGTAAAAGAAGAGTAAAAGCTCAAACTGCGCAATAATTTCACACAGATTCCGTCAAGGTACGAGATCATGGAGTAATTCAATTTTTTATTTCCTTTTTACTTGCAACGATTACGACTCTCAGCCCGCCATACGACACTGAATACCAAGAACGAGAGCTTCCTCGACAGTGAGTCGCGTAAGGAGATAGGACGGTAATTTTTCATCTCGATTCAGTCTCAAGATATAAAAATTTGCATGACACCGCCGGTTCTCCGCCGTTCCCATAATTTCTTAGTTTGCTTCGTCATCTTAAACCTCGCTACGAGGATTTTTGCGACGCGTGCAGTTATCTTTCTCGCCGAAAGAATTTCGCTCGTATTGTTTAGAATCATTTACCCGCGGCGAGCGTAAAGGTAACGGTGAGCATAAAATGCGCGAGATTTTATAGCGACTATTAGCATAAACTTTATTGCTGCGCCGTCGTTGCAACATTGTATCGCGCATTGTACGATCCTACGAAGTGACCCCCAGCCCTGCTATCGTTGCCAACTTCGCGGAAACTCATCCGGTGTCAGTCGTTGGCGAATATAAACGAGACAGGCGTCCGTAATTAACGCGAAAACCTGGTGAAATAATATTTTCTAATTGATTATAGTTAGCGTCAAAATGTTCTGTAAACGTCTCTATAAAAGAGGATGATTCAATCACCTAGAGTTGTCTTAGGATTGAATTGTAGTAGAACCGATTACAACGCTACAACAGAAACTTTTCCACTGGTTTAAAGGTTCGGTTTTACACCCAAATTAATACCACGACGAAGTCGAGCAAGTTTTCTCTCACTTAAATTCCCCGCGGTGTCACGGTGACAAAGAAAATCGTTCATCGACTTTCCGCTCGTTCCTTGAGTCGCAGGGGAGCATTCGTCGCGATCTTCGAGCGTGTTCGTTGGAACTTTCGCGGAGCAACGTCGAGCTACCCAGAGACAAGCGTTTAATTTACCGGAGCAAATTCGAATCGCGAGCGGAGACCACCCGCGGAGGTGTGTACCGCGTCGAACGAAATTGCCAAAGTTGTTCATCTAGAACGACAATGGCGTAAACGAGGTGTAAAGCGAGGGTGCTAGGCGTCGTCTCGCGGGCGTCGAGTAGGCGCGTTTGATTTTCGAGGTGTTCGCCCGTTCGCGATCCCTCGCGTGGTTCGGTAATTAGTTTACCGAGATCGATATTAATGAGCATCGTGTAAACGACGGCCGTCGTGTCGCGTTTCACGCCGGAAAGAAAAACGCTTTCCCTGACCGTGTATCACTCCCGAGGCAGAGCCGCAGCCGACTGACTTATGAATAATGCATACGATAAATTCGCGTCGCACGCACGCATGCACGCCGCTAATTCCATTAGCTATACCATTTTGACGCTCGATACCCACGACGTATTCCATCGAGCACTCCTCCCGATTGTTGTTCTCCACAACCAACCCCTTGTTTGCTATTATTCTCCCCCGGTTACAGAGCAGAACTGTTGGAATTTTCTGAAGATCCTTAGAATAGTATATTCGTTGGGTGTTCCAGTGGATCGACGAGTAGATGAAATAGAATGGTAACACCAAAACGATCACGAGACGGTCAAAGAACCGTTAACCTCAGAACTTTTGCTGTTTCTCGTGTAATATTTATAAAACACTGCTCCAATGTATTCTATTGTTAATCCACCGAAGGCCTATGCGTCTCTTGTCAGGATTCCGACACTGTCTGCTGGATCAACATGTTCCGAGAAGGATTATTACGCGTGACTGTACACGGGGTTCGTTCCAATACGGCCATTCAATCTATTTGTCAATCGCGCGTAATCGCCATATTGTGGAGAAATGGAAAGATTGATCTTTGAAGGAGTAATACTGAATCAGACGGATCAATTTGAGGCTGCGACCGACCAGGGAGCATCGCTCTGACGCTGATTTCGCAGGGAGATTCATGCAAACTTCGTTATGATATATCTGACAGTTCGTAACTTCTTTCGTAACACCGTCGACATGCCACTTATCTCAAGATTAATCTTTCTCTCTCCCTACACTAAGAGTCGGATTAAGGCATGAGCTTTAGCGGGACAATCCAAGGGTCTCCGCCAACTAGATGGCCTCCAGAGATTAATTTAAGACAATTTTATGAAGTTAGGCATAATCATGAAACACTGCATGCCTCTGGTACGCCTCTACCCTCGTGTTAAACAATGGATTAACTTTTTTGCACTCTAATACTGAAATATTCTATGGATTTACTGGTAATTAACCATGACTAATGTAACTGGAGATGATCTTTCCTAGGATGAAACGTAAGGAGACAGGATCAACGTGGAATAAATACTTTACGAAAAGGCATAACGCTACACTAGTAAGAAATATCCTCGAGTCACACCGACCGCATCAATGGTCGCCTAGCGCAATAATATGCTGGTATTTTAGTCCAGAAAACTCTTTTTCCCACAGCTGATGTCCATATAAAACGCATCCGATTTCTTCCATCCTAGTCATTTTATCGAAAGGACATGCTCAAGACTGATAATTACCTTCCGTACACATGAAGAGAATGGCAGCAATGGACAGCCTCGCTTGCCACCTCAAAGCCATGTCCGCAAATGTTTGATGGGGCGTTCACTTTGGTACTGAAGCGATTCACATCCTCTTCACTGGATGACAACGCACCGTCCACTCACTGACATGTACTAACACAAACGCGGGAAATCCTTATCGGTGACGCGTTGTCATCGCGCGGAGATCGGAAACCACTGTCCACTGACGACCACGAGACCCGACGACCCGAGGCTCGGCCGCGATTAGTCGAATCACAGTTCGTCAATCGCCTCGAACGCGTCCTCTGGCCGTCTATTGTTGTCTCCTGGATCTTCCATAGGCCGCCGCTACTCCTATCCACGCGCAGTCGAGGCTACAAGGCTCCCACGCTCACGGAACTCGACGACGATCCCGAAGTTTCGACGATGCCCAGCTTGCTCGGACAGATGAAACACGAAGGAAACTTTTCCCTGTAAACGTGTGTCAGGGGAAATCGACTGTCGCTGCGGTGGAGTCGCTCCCAGCTAGAATCGTTGAACTCTTCGACGCGACCTCCGCGGAACGTTGATCCGACGTAACGCGACACCTGACAGATTTCGATCGCTCCTTTGGATGATATCGATCGTCCAAACTGTCGAGGCGACAACTTCGAAGACACTCGTCGACGATTAATAACGTCTCTGAGCAAAGATAATTCCGTTTTGTCACTTCCAAGGAAGAATTACCCTGAAACGAACACAACGTCCGACGCACTGTCTAGGACCTGACGGAATGTCGCTAACTATCGACGCTTTGTCATATTCTTTCGAATATAAACAGATCGGTTTTAGAAGCAAGGGAGAAGCTTCTTCTCGAGGAAGCTTCCTCTTGGGTCCGATCCAGGGCCCGAAGCAGCCCTCTTAGCAAGAGGATTTCACGTGTCCGCGAAATCTCGTTCAACCGAAACTCGTTTCCGCACGTTTCACACTGATCACACTCTCCAGGTCTGTAGGAACGTTCCGTGGACGGTCGTCTCGCGGATTCCCGTCATTTTCAGACTGCTAAGGACTCGCGTTAAATTTTTTTTTTCAACGGGAACCCCCCGTCTGTGTACGCGACATCGTATATAGGACGACGGGACACGCACCACGTCTCGATTCGGTGGTAGATTTACCCTGACTGGGGAGATTCTCGGCCGTGAGAGCATGCGCGCTTCCGATCCACCTCCTGGTGATGGTGGAAACGCGCAGAGGGTCCACGAACAGGGTTCGCGCACACGTAAGGTCCAACCCACACAACGAGGCACGGGTACACCGACTTGGCCACCGACGCCAGCAGGGCTCACCTACACGTAGGCGTAGTCCTAAGGGTGGCCCGCGACGTACCGTGTGTCACGGACAGAAAGTGTGGCAAGCCGTGCGAGGAGCACGGGATCGAGGTATGAAATCCACGGATACTCTTTAGAGCGCCCCTCGCGATGCCCCGACAGAGATTCAGCCGCGTGTTCATTTCACGCGTCACCATGATCGCTGGATTTACCGGTGATGGGCTGTAGATCGCACGATAGCCCTCGCTGCGTGGTGATTTCAGGTCGAGCACGTTACCCAAAACGTCACGGATGTACAGGATGTCTTGTTGCTGATGAACGTAACTTTAGATGTGGCTTGATCGTTATATAAAGCTTGTTTTAGACGAAGAGGAGTTTCTTGCGTGGGTTTTTGTCGACTGGTGAGCTGGCCAGACTGTGTATTCTCATGTATGCTTTTCTTGTGGAATGTCTTTTGTGTACTTGAAGCATGTTTCATCAAAGTACTCGAAATCCGTCTTAAAGGAATCACGCGTCTCTATAAAACTACACGGTAATCCTTAGGAATCCTTCAAATCGTATTTGTTTGTTACTCAAACATCCATTCGAACGGGTGGTAACAGCCTGGAATGGTGGAGTTGAAACCTATGTATCACGTAATCGGATTTCAGAAAAATCCATTCATTTAAGTAACAGTATTAAAAATTTGTTATAACATATTCCAACGTATGAATTCCAAAATACGGTGGAATACATTCACCTGTGTTACTTTTCATTGTATTATTTAAACAAACAACTTTTTGTGAAACGTGCTCGCGCAGCTGAATTGGTTGTTCAATTACGCACGTAGGTGTATAACATGTACGTACTTTATACTCACTTTTGATCCGTCGGCTGTAACAATGTTACTCGTTGACCGAAAAGTCGGTCAAATACGATCATGTTTGGTATCATTTTCACCGTGGATACTCCATTCAGCCAATTCGATTGATTTCACAGAGGTACAATAAATGTACAGAAAAAATAATTAAATAAAAAAACAAGTTAATTCGGAAATTATTTTTGGTGATTTACTTGGAATTATGACAAGCTGAGGAACATGATATCAAAATGTAATCATACGTTAAGTTAGACTAAAAATTCGCCTTCTTCGATTATCGAGAACAAGAATCTTTCTTTCGTGTTTCATGCACATTTTATTTTGAGTAGTGGCTATACAAAAATGATGTTTACTAAGTACTGAGGAAATACCCTGAATATGCGTGGCACGCTGCTACTGGCGTACAGTGTATGCTAATGCGCTTTGTATACGATAATGCCGCAATAATACGTGAACCTTCGTAATTGCTGGGTCGTTATCAAGATAGTAGGACGACAAGTGCAAGTTTCGTGCGCTTGTTTCGTGCTTGTTTTCTTCATTTCGTGTCAAGAAACGTGCGTGACAGAGATATTGAAGAGCCGGTCAGATTCTTGAAGGTTTGCCCCGTCGCCTGATCTTTTGAGCGGCGGTTGCGCAGAACGAAACGCTTTGAAGACCTCGTTGCGAGGTATTCAACACCAAGTCGCATTACGCTTCACGCCTTTTGTCTTTAAACGTACATCGTTTATGAATAGTCTCCGAGACACTGCTAGGTACATTTGAAAAACGTCGTCTTTCTGTAAGTTTTTAATTTTGTGTTCTAAATAACGACACCTCGCGCACTCCAACAGAACGATTCGTGAAAAATCTCACCGTTCCGTTCCCTTCACCTCTGTCCCTCGCGTATTCAGACACTTTCAGAGACGGGCGGGTAATTAACATGTTAAGAAAGCGCGAAAAACCGTCCCCTATCCACCGGTTTTCAATGCTGCGCGGGAACTGTGCCGCTTTTATTTTAGCTCGCATAAATCTGACGGGATGATCGCCCAGCACGCTATTAATGCTGTTAGATGGTCCAGATGAAAGTGGACACGCGAGTCTACAACGCTGGCCGTTACGCGTGATCACTAGCTCGAATGCGATCATTTATCTGCGTGTGAAAGTAATTCCAGGGGATTGGGTTACGCAAGCATTATACTTTGTTTTCATCGCTTGTAGGGATATATCATAGGTATCATAGGTTGAAAAATCTTTCCTAAAATTAGTTGAATAAATGGCTGAAAGATTTCTGTCGCAGAGGGTGTCTCGAGGAGGATCGGAGGTCCCACAAGAACGCGATGGGATTCGAAATGGAAGCGGTGTTTGGAGAGAAGAATGGTTCTGTAATACGACAAATGAAACGCGAAGGATCATTATGCGCGACAGGTTGAAAAATTCGCTCGTAATTTTAATTCTCGTCGCGCGTCACGTGCGATCAGATACCATTAGACCCGGCTCATGGCATCACGGAGCGTTAGCGTATGCGCCACCCGAGACAGATGCGCATGCAAAATATGTAAAGAAGGTATAATATTTTGACGACACCCGGGAAATAAATGACGTTGGCAGCGGTCGTATTACGTGTGCCTCATGCTTAACAACTATCTGGGAAAGTTTGATGAAATCTACTTTATAACCCCTCGCTTTGTGAAATATTTGCAGGAGAAATTTCGCGCACGTGTGACTCTGATGTAATAACTTCTGCTTCTGGTGCAATGAATACACGTTACTCGTTCGCGCACACTCATGCTGTATCGAGTGCGAGAATTACGAGCCAATGTCGATACAATTCGTTGGAAACTGTGGCGAGCTTGGAAATATTTTTTCCTAGCGATGATCTCGACACCGAAAAGCGATACCGCTAGGGTTAAGGGTTATTTACACATGTCCGTAACGTGTCAGTTCCGTATCCGTACCATATCAGTAACGTCACGGAGCGGTGTCGGACGTGTGTGAACATGCCCATTCAAAAACAACAGAAGAATATTTAAAATCACTGACACTGATGGAACATTACGGAACTGACACGTTACGGATATGTGTAAATAGACCTTTAATCGAGAGACTGAGAATCATGGTGGTATACGCTTGACGAAACATATTTCGAGAGACACATTTTATTGCTCCACTGTATCTACTTTGTTTCGTTTAGGTCTTTTATATCCTTCCCGCCGTGTATTGTCAAACGATTCTAAACTCATACATTCTCGATCCTTGGTGGTCTGCCTGTTTGATTATCGTACCGTGGTTTATAGCCCCTGTCTTTCTTCTCGGCCATCCTCTTTTGTTCAGCGTATCCAAAATTCGTGTCTTCGTTATTCATACTGTGCTCGTAAACTCTACCACATTACTCCTGTGCTCCAAGTGTTCTGGTTGGCTGACTGTCCGACAGAGATGGATCCTTCGCCTCTGCTGTTTACAAAGTCCTCGCCTGTCCTTACATTCCAATAATTCTTCGATCTTGCTACCAAATTTCATGCTTTCTTTTCCAACCGTGTTTGTTTACCCTTATAGCTCTGCCTTTCTGAGAGGTTATTTTTTTTTTTACCCACGCCATGAATTTTGGTGGACTCATCGCTTTTCCAAAGCTCGAGGGACTGAACAAATATAAACAAACCCGGAGACGACTCCCCATGGCGGATTCGAGAAACAAATGTTATCGATACGCGAGACATGGCCGTGTATTGAACGATACGAAGTCCATGGAACCGATCGTGTTCAATTCGCAACGGCGTGTCACGGTGTTCATTCAAAAAACCGTTCTGGCCGATGTACAAGCTCCCAAGCCAACGTTATAAATAACGTTTCGCGTGACGGGTGTGCCTTTGCAGACGCGGGACCATTCATCAGCAACGCCTCGCACGTGAACCCACCGATAACGACGCTCTACCGGGGGACTCGATCGCTCGTTGAAAGGTGTGCTGTCGAACGAACCGCGACGCGTCTCGGTTATAGCGACTTTCTACAGTTGGAACAAAATCAATCGAACTCTTTCACGACCTCGTTGGTCACAGAGTACTTATATCTTGCGAAAAAAATAGATCCTGGAGCAGTCGCACAGCGACAAAGGCAAATCAACGTGGCTTTGGTAAGTCTAAATAATAGTTTAATAAATTTTCCATGTAAACTTTCCTAGCTTCGTATAATAGCTTCTTCGGACCAGAAACGAGTAAACGTATGGAAAGAAACGCGAAAAGAAATTTTCGCGGGGTTCTCCGTCAACAGGTCAGCCCGCATGGTTCGAGCAGAAGCGAATTGTTTCGTTGGAATGATTGTTCAGTAGTACAGTGACGCAACTTTCGCGTGACCTGTTTCCTTTCTTGTCTGTAGCCCATTTTCGAGACCGTAGCGGAGGATCGCAAATTAACATGACGATAAAACCTCGCATAAAGTTCGCTGAAAAGCGCTAACCTCGTCGAGAACCAGCGCGGAAATTCCTTGCGCGAGAAGTCCGTAATTCTTACGTGAAAATGATTCTGCCAACGTGGTCGTCGCTCTTTGGTGTACGCTTGTGCGCGACTCATTCGTAACAGGACGGCAGCTACCAATTTTGTGAGCGCGTTGGCGTACAGGCCAGCCGACAATTAGAGTTCGTAAAATACACTATGCAAGGCCTCGGGGAATATAACTTTCCACTGTGGCGATAAAGCCAACGATAGCGGTGTCGGCATGTGTGCACACGAAATCCAGAGGAAGTAGGTGGTAGGTTGTGGGCGTCGAACAACCCTAGCAGCCAGGTAAACGTTTGTCTCCACGCAAAAGGCGTCGAACTCGTTTTTCCCAGTACCGACTAGAACACGACTGCGACACGCTAAGATTTTCGATATTTCTAAATTGATGACGATAACGAGCATTGCGCTACCCCTCGCCGTCTACCGTTCTTGTTTCCCTGTTGTTTTATCGGCGCCACGCACGAACATTTCCGCACGAAATTGAAAAACGCCCTCGCCAGGAGAACGAACACGTCAGCCGTGAATTCTTGCAAGCTCAGGAGCGTCTCGCTCCCGTTTCTTTCAGCGAAATTCCAAATTGAAATTCGACTCGCGTCGCTACGTAACTCGTAGCTCTCGAAATATAAACGAACATCACGCACTTTGTTAATCCCACAATATACAGAGTTCCGAAAACAAAGAGTGCCTTTTTCGCGCTGAAACAAAACTTTGCCAGTCATCATCGTTATTTCTACGTTATGGTTAAATATCTCGCTGCACGCGAAATTTTGTATCCTGGCTAGGATCCAGGCGCATTTTTGCAGGAGCCTGATGCATTTGTTTCGTAGGAAAGCGCATTCATTCTACAATC